ATTTAGCCTAATATTTATTGCTTCCGATTCTTGTTTTGTTCATGCATGTGATTATCTTCAAGAAACATGGTTTGCAGTTTTATCCACCAAATCACATTTTGCTCCTGTAATTCATGTGAAGATGACCTTACCTGTTACCTACAACTTCCATTCTTCCCTCCTTTCTAGTAACAGAAACCCAAATTTTGGGACAATGTGTCCAGTTAAAAATATACACACTCATCTTTTCAGTCTTTCCTATAGCTACAGCAAGTTGCCACATAACCCAATTCCATCTGCTAAGTAGCAGAAGTTGCAGGAGGCTTTGGGAAAGCTATCTTGATAGAGGTAGACTCAGCTGCTATGTGTCTTCTGCCCTTTGATCTTCTACCTTTCTCCCTGCCTGGAATGTAGACATGATACCAGAGGTGAAGTTGTTCTGTGTAGCTGGTGCTGTCAGCACTCTCCCCATAACTCCTTGACACACCCATTCCTATATTCACCACAGGTTTCCTGCTGGAAGCTCCTGCGATTCTTTACCTGAGGGCTTTCACTGGTGACAGGATCATACTTAGCTCATATATGGCAAGCTAGAAGCGCCAGGGTGTTCATGACCCTGGCAGCAGCTAACTAATGACAGATGAGAGTTGATAGATAAATATCCCTCCCAGCTCCTTGGCCTGGTGGAACAACTCTGAGCGTGAGCCACATACACTAGGGACAGAGAGCTCTCTGAGGTCCCCAGCCAAGACTGAACACCAGTTGCTCATAGCAGTAACCCACTCATTAACACATCGTCTTGGCTTTCTTCTCTTCTCTGTCTCACTTCTCACTTCCCTACCATCCTAGGATCACCTACTAAATAAATTACATGCACCCATCTTTGTCACAGGAAGTCCTTCGGGGGAACCCAACCCAAGACATCTTGTGACTGTGAGGATAAAAGCCCCTTGCTAAGAATGGAGAGGAGTCTAGAAGTAGCTCAAGTCCTTGATGCCAGACTTGAGCCCCTGCCCTAGCCTTGGACTGCCTATCACTGGACTTATTTGAGAAAAATAAATCTCTTATTTGGGTAAGCCACCATAATCAGGTTTCTACAGCATGCAGCCATATGCAATTCTGAGAGGTGTGGAGGAACTTTTAGTTGACTGCAAATGCAACCATAATCATCAGTTGGACATGGCTGCTAATGAAGCTAACACTCTGGCTGCATTAGTAGTTCCTTACACTATATGGCATGTTACAGTTAGCATGTCATTTGCTTACATGTTGCTGTATTTAATACCATGTTACTTCTGTGAGGCAGGTATTATCATTTCCATTTTACTGAAGCCCAGAGAGGCTGAGTCACTTGCTCGTGGTTACAAAGGCTAGTGGTGAAATCAGGAACTTTTGCCATAGGGAGAGAGGGGCTAGGTTTTTATTCTAAGTCTGTTGCATTTAAGTCACGAGTCACACCACCCACCTGTTCTTTTTACCTGCCTTCTGAGACCCTGTGCTTTTCCATGTCCATTTCTCAGCACCACCCTTCACTCCTATGGGACTGCAGATTTGCATCTACCAGAACTACCCCTCCTGGCTGCCAAATCTCATTATAAACTTTACACACTAATCACATGCTTTCCAAAACATGTACTAAATCCTTTTATCTATAGGCCTTTGCTCAAGCTCTTGCCTTTGCCAGGAATGCTATACTGCAGAAGTGGGAAATTGCTATATTCGGGCCCAAGGAGGACAGTCTGGTATCTGCAGGCTTGTTGTGGGCAGGATACATATCTCACTAAGGCTCATAGCACCAAAAACATAGAGATGCTTAGTAAGTATTTGTAAGGTTAAAGTGGCTAACCATGATGGAATGCAAGTTGAATCCAAATTTACTCCTTTTTAAAATCAATCACACATAAAAATGAAATATACTCTATAGAAGACTTCAGACAAATGAAATACACTGTTGAACATTTAATAAATTACATCCAAGTACAACTTTTTTTTTAAAAAAGGACAAAATTATAATGCAAATATTTACTAAAATGCTGACCATTTAAATCTTATCTGAACCATATCAAATAATACTCATGTACCTTTGTGAAATGTATTAATGAGAATCCAGTTTTTATATAAGGCTGAGGATTTTCAACATTCCTGGCCTACATGAGAAGACTGCATTCTCTTAGTGGTGACTCAGGAAATAAAGCACACTTGCATTACAACTGCTGGTGTATAGAGACAAGGGTAGCACCCATGACTGGTTGGGCTCTAGAAAACAGGCATGAAGTACTCCTGCTGTGCTGCTCTGGGACCCGAGACAAACGTCTGATCTAGGGTGAAATGACATGCAGGGTATGGAGAGGACTGGACCAAGGGGCTCACTGTGGCTAGAGGAACGAAGGAAAAGCAGTGTGCAGATACTGCTCTGACTAACAGATGTTAAGTGAGGCAAGAAAGCCAGGAGCCTTTTCACAACCCTCGAGGTCAGCAACTCCCATGATATTTATATCAAGGTAGTTGGTAGAAAATATAAATGCTCACTGGCCCTGACTCGAATTAAACTATCATAACAGACCCAATTTTGAGGATAGGTGGTTATCGAATTACCTATAAACTCAGGTGGGGTATCAGCTCAAAAGATACTTGTCTATCTGGTTTTGGCTGGTAAGGAATCTATAAAGATGGTTAAATGCCAGTTTTTGGTAAATTTATTTCACTAAGCTACCATTTCATAAGGACAATAAGATTCATTAAGTCACAATCCAAGACAAAATTTACAAATGAGATGACAGAACTATTTTAAATACATTTTGTTGGGTAAAAGCATTTTTCACTAACTATAAAATCCAGTGAGACAAAAAGATAATTACAGTACTGTTATTGTCAAAAGATTTTAGACTGTAGTTTAAGTTCAAAAGGTTAAGGATTTTACAAAAGGATAACTTAAGAAGTGTTAATTATATATGAAGAGTATTTGATTAGATACAGAAAATATTAGTAAGTGTGGTTTTCTTCCTCTTGAAAACTAGCTTTACAAATACCAACTCTGATTTAATTCTGACCTACTTTAATTCTTCATCAATGGAACCATAACCTGGAACATTCAGAGTAAACCAGTTACTTTGGCCACCAAATTAGGTCACAGTTATGTTTCTAAAATAATTTATCAAGGACACAATGGAGTAGCCTGTATTTAATTATTATGTAATATTGTGCAAACCTACAGATTTAAAAAATATTTCCCAATTTTTCAAAAGTTCTGTTTCCCAGGACTTTAATCATTAAATATGTCTACTTCAGGATTCCAAACACTAATGTCCCTTATGAGAACTTGTTGGGTAACACCATTCTCTTTAATGTGACAAGCTACCTTCTAAGAAATGATCCTAAACCTGCTATGTTGGGACAGTGTTGGAGGTACAGTCTGAAGATCTGAGGGATATTCAGGGGACTGACCCCAAAGGATTTGAACATTTATTAATTTTTCAAGAGAAACATTGTTGGAATGGAAAAAGTAGTCTATAATCTAGGATATGCTCAAGAGCCCTTGCTCTCATTACCAAATATATGAAAGTAGTTTTCCTTAAAGAAACACAGGTCTATGAGCCAAAGCAAGCTTTGGCTAAATGATTGGTAGCTTTTGTTTGGCTCTGGAGGTTTCCATGGAAACAGCCTGAGACAGAAAAGGCAGCATTATCTTTATACATAATGCCACCTGATAAAACTGCGCATTGATTCATTTATGTTATCCAGAGCAGATGTATTACTTCTGATAAGCCTGGACAAAGGGAGACATGAATTCTGTCTGGTCATGCTTTGAATTTCCTGTCCTCCTCTGAAACCTTAAATTAAAATCCTGATAATACCTCCTCTGTACGTTTCCCTCAGGAGCCTCTAGTTTAAGTAATGCTTCAATAATCAGAAGCCAAATGAAGAAACGTGAAGCACCAAATGGAGCTCCACAGCTATGTTCTTAAAATTATATGGCACCAAGCTTCCCGGAGCTGAAGAAATTGCTCTGAAGAGTATTTACAATTCCATTATATCAGATCTCAGCCAGGCAAGAAATGACATCTTAAGTGTTTATTATACACAGCTGAACCAGGTGGCATCATCCATCATTTTTCCCCCTCTTTATGTCTACATTATTTGTGTGTGTGTATTTTAATATAGTAACACATCACACATAATTATCTAATTTTATTTCAGGTTAGTGCTTCTCAGAAAGGCCACAAATGCAGCCCTAGCTTAGAATTATGTATCTGAAGTACAAAAAATAAACACTTCTACAATAAAATATAAACAAAACAAACAAGATAAGGAGGCTAAACCTTTAGCACCATACTTAAGACCACAGAGTGCGAGAGTGTTGACAGAGGTCTGAATGAGGAATCCAGCTCTGGGTTTTCTTAGAATGGGATCCCAAACATAGACCCTACTTACAGAGTCCAGTTCTTTCAGAAAAGGAAAGCCTGAGGAATTTTATTAACAGAATTATCAAAATCCATGATTTGCCAAACATGATTTTTCATTGATCTTATTCTAAAAGCATCAAAGACATTATTCCTTAGGAACAAATTCCTCACTTTGGGATATCAGTTGAGAAATCACTGCCAGTCTCAATAAACTAAGTGATGTCTCAGTAAATTAAAAAGACATGATATACCCCAAGAAGGACCAATTTACTCACGCAAAATAGTTTACTAATGAGCAGTTAGCGTCTTGCTATCTGTATAATACAGACATGTTCTACATCAAAAAGGTCCAACCTCACACATATAATTACATGCTCCACAAGGTGAAATATCTGAAAAACACCCACACCTCTGTACACTGGTGTAGAAATCTGGATTACAAAATAAAGTCCAGGTTGGTCTTCTCTAAAATAAGGGACTAAAAGTCCACACCTCTGTACACTGGTGTAGAAATCTGGATTACAAAATAAAGTCCAGGTTGGTCTTCTCCAAAATAAGGGACTAAGGTTCTCTTAGAGATGTGCTAAAAATTTCAGGTTGGTCTTCTCTAAAATAAGGGACTAAAAGTCTAGGGAAAGGTTCTCTTAGAGATGTGCTAAAAATTTTGGTAGTTTAAAGCTGATGGGTAAGTAGTTATTGGGCTAGAAACAACTTTAGATCTTATTTAATGCAAATCCCTTATTTTATTGATGGGAACACTGAGGCCTCAAGATAAGTGTCAGATCTAACCAATGGAAGATCTGCGACCAGAAGAGAAACCATGAGACTCTTAGTTCAGTACTTTACCAATCATGTTTAGCTCTTAGGCTCCTTTAAATCCTAACATGCATCACTTAATCAAGCTCAAGGAAAATGACTGAGAAATATTATATAGGAAAACACTGCATTTTCACAAAGATTTTGGCAATTCATGTTCTGATGTGCTTAATATTAACAAAGGGAAAACCCGATCACCTTTTGGTAAAAATGTAATTTCCTCCAAGAAATAGGTTCCTTTTCTGAGAACTGTTATTATAGTTATAGTGATAGCTCATAGCTAACAGTTTTCATATGCCCCACCTTTGTAGTTAGATTCGGCTGATCCTGTATCATCAGGCGGGCTGAAATGACTGCTGTCTTGAGAATCTGTGTCAATACTTTTGGTCTCTGACTGAAGGTGGACAGAAACCTGAACTGCTATCTCCTGGCCCTGTTCATTCAGAGAACCATCATCTGAATCTCCTCCTGGTGAATTACTCCGCCCCATCTCTGGGTTAATGACATAGATGCCACCTTGAGCATTCAAGGCAGGTCTCTCTTTAATTCTTTCTCCCAGGTCATCAGGGTCATCCACTCGCACAGCCTCAAACATCTCCTCAACAAAGGCCCGACAGTTTAGAATAAGGGGTGGAAGAGGAACGCTTCTTGCCAGTTCTTCAATATAACGAGCAAACTCCATGGTCTTAAATTGTGTGACTTTGGCGAGCTCCAGAGTCTTGGCTGAGGTGATGATGGGGATGCGTTTTGCAATCTCAAAGGCCTTCTGAAGTTTCTCAGCCCCTTCAGTTCTGAAGAATTCATTGATGGCCTTCTCAGTCTTGCGAAGATGGCTGCTCATCATGCACAGCCGTGTGACATTCAAGATAAGAGTGATTGTAAAGGCAATCAGGCAAACAATCATATAGTAGACACTCATGTCTCCTGAGGTGAAGATGACTCGTAGGGTGACAGAGTAGGAGGCACGAATTGGAGAGGTGACGAAACATGTATAGAGCCCACGGTCATCAAAGGCTACGTTGGTGATGTTTAGGAAGTTATCAGAAACCAACCATTTTCCACCTGATAATCCAACAGAAATGAAAAAATCACAGCATAGAGAATATTATTACTAAATATAACAGCTGCCTTACTCCACCTCTTCATGAAAGCACTTTAACTCATCTGTTAGAATCTACTGTTTGTTTAAATCAAATAAACAAGGGCAGATTACTGTGTCCACAGTCAGAATTTAATTAGCCTGGAACTTAAAAAGAAAATCAAGATCATCTTTCCTGACAGTAATAATTACCATAGCTTCCTTTTCACTGCTAGAAATAAAAAGTCTTTCAGGTAGACAAGTATTTCTACATAATGCTAAATGAATAATCATAAAAAAATGTTTATATATGTGTGTATGTCTACACACAATCTCTACCTATACATTTTCATATACTAGAAGGAAATGCCTCAGAAGTATAAAACAATGGTTTAAAATAATGACATTTTAAATTGTTATAATTTAAACTTTCTTCCTTTTATTTAACTGTTTGCTCACTTTCCATAATGAACTTTTATAACAAGAAATAAAAGTTACTTTTTAAAAAAACCTAGCAGTTTAATGCATTTGTTCAATTACTAACCAACTAATCTGATATGCCTTGTACATATTAATTTTTATTAGGAAAGGTTTGTTGATGATGATATCTTGACTTCTGGCAAAAGTAAATGAAGCACAAGCCAAGATACATCTCACAAGTCAGGGTAAACGAACAACTTGGCAAAGAGAATACAGTTGCCCTTAAGATGCTTATGCTTCTGTTTTAAACCTATAAGATGCTGCCTCTCTTTCATACATGAAGGTATCTTCACTCAGGGGACGCATATACAAAAGTCTACAAGTGGGGCTGGCTGGTTAGCTCAGTTGGTGAGAACACAGCCTTGTAGCACCAAGGTCAAGGGTTGGGATCCCTCTATTGGCCAGCCGCCAAAAAAAAAAAAAAAGTACACAAGTATATGAAAAGCAGAACATATTGACCACATACCTTGATTCAACATCCTTCAATAACTTGGCTCTGCCTGCACATTTCCACCTTTGTGGTAAATTCCCACAATACTCTGTGCTTTAATTACAAAAGCCATTCAATAGTGGGATGGATGGAATAACCTGGGGTGCAGATATGCATCCCAATGACTAGTGGAGCTGTCCCATCTCTAGGGTGGGTGACTGCTTGTTAAGTATCACCTGATTGCCTAATCCTCAAAATTTCTTTCACCCCCAAGATTGTATGGTTCTGAATTATTTTAGTAGCATATAAATTAGTAAGCACTCTGGATTGTGCCCATTTTTATCATCATCAAAACGTATCTAAATTCTATAGCTATATTTATTTTTAAGAGCCATTGCTTCACTAATACAAAAAGAGGAGGAAAACATGTAGTTATGAATACAGACATTCTTCCATAAGGTTCTGTTCTATGAACTTGGAGCTATGGAAAGGACAGTCTGAATTCAAAGTATGATAAACTACATAGACTCCATTCATCAACCACTCTACTACAGCCACAATCTAAACTCTCTAGCTCACTTGCTGATAATACCTCAAGATTTATGAACCTTATACTAGACTGACATGCTCTTTAAACTCCTCTCACTTGAGATTCATAAAATTTAATACAATTTTCCAGAGCTGCTGCTGAAAGCATCAATGATAGATGTTAGTGGTTTTCAAAGTAAAGGCAAAACAGGATGAAACTGCCATTCCACTTGGCTGGTCTTGTCCTAACCTAAGGCTTTGTTTATACAGTCAATCTATAATGATACCTACTGAATAATTCAAAATCACAGGTGTGTTTCAATGATAGATGTTAGTGGTTTTCAAAGTAAAGGCAAAACAGGATGAAACTGCCATTCCACCTGGCTGGTCTTGTCCTAACCTAAGGCTTTGTTTATACAGTCAATCTATAATGATACCTACTGAATAATTCAAAATCACAGGTGTGTTTGGTCAGGATTTCTTAGAGCCTAAAGGAGATAGGAGTCTAGGCCAGTGAGTCCACATGCAGAACCCCAAATCATGTTCAAAATACACATTCCGGATACTACTCTAGAGATTCTGATTCAATAGTTATTTTTAACAAGCTGATTAGAAATACTCTGTTCTAACAATTCAAACTCTTCAATCCTTGGTGACCAGTTACTCAGTGTGTAGGTTAAAATGCTTAGCATATACTTCTGAAGGAAATACCACTTGTCTCCTTTTCTATTTTCCACCATAACGTGAATAACCACTATTCTTTATTTTTCAAGAAGTTAGACTATCTTTCTTGCAGAAAAGATAAGATGGCTTTTTCTGAAAGTGTAGCTTGTAGGGATCCCAGAATTTAATCTTCATCCTTTTGGATTTCCATGGCGATTTCTTTTTGAGGTACTTTATAATTCAAGTACCCACCAAAAAGATCTTTCTAACAGAACACTGGTTAAAGAAATAGTAGTCTGGATTAAGATGTGTTCATAGGCCCACAAATAGCAAAATTAAATAAAAACTAGTCAAAACACAGACTTTGGTCACATTATTGTTATGTTTGTGTGATTTTTAAGACTGAGGAAAAAAGCAAGAGAAACTTCCCTGTTTTCAAGTAAATTAAGATAAAAAATAGAAAAAAATGAACTGGAAGGCCTTATAGAGTTCCATGGTGTCTAATTCTCAGAGGGACTCAAAAAGTTTTATACACAGATTTATACTCATATTTAAAAACATTCTACATTTCCTTTAACATTTATAGTAACTCATTTCACAGCAAAAAATTATTTATGACAAATTTCCTTAAGACCAGCTAAAATCCTTCTTGATGCATGTTCAAACAGGGCAACCACACTGTACTATTCACATTGCAGTCTAGATGAATGGTGCCTTTGGAGTTGTTCAGAGCACCGCTTGCACAACTATATGCAGCAGTCCTGATTTAGTCACTTTCAATGAAGAAAGAAATAAACACATCAAGAGGAAAGAAAATAGCTCATTGTCATCATGCGAATACCTTTATTTACTTATAACAATTTTTTTTTTCTTCTTTTTCTGGTTAAATAATTATAATTACTTTGCTTTTTCTGATAGGTATAGCACTCCAGGCCTTCCAAAAGTTTTAAACTATTCACCCTGGCACCTCATCTTTGAGATTTCTTGTTAATGTATGATAAAACCATGAAGGCAAAACAGGAAACACGTAAACTTGATTATTTACACCCTGAAACATTACCTCTGCCTCTGCCATCCAGCTGTTGTCCTTTTGAGTTGTACCAATGGACATCTTCATTGTGACCAACTGTGAGAAGACACTCGATTGAAACGCTAGTTCCCTCTTTGGCTATGATGACATCATCACCTGAGTGGGAATTTGCTGAGAGTTCAAAGCTTAGGGGAAATGAAGCATTGTAAGAACTATGATTTGCTCCCAGTGGGGACATTTGGTTGAAGTCCACATCTTCCAAAACAAAAGCAGCTGGCACAATAACACTCACCACTAAAGTGAATAAGCAATAATGTGGCTTCATGGGAAAATGGAAGGAAATCTTGATTAGATTTGGAGAACTCAAAAACTTCTATAATATAAGAGTACAGTGGGTAATTTATTGCTTGGTAGAGATGTTGTCCAAAAGAGTGGTAGATCCAGGTGTATTTTGAAGTCTTCAAGATTAAAAGACATGAGCGGAGACCAACCTAAAAGAAAGTCAGATACAAAGTTTAACCAACTGAGACTTATAATGGGGTAAAACTTTGTATGTTCCATACATATATGTGAAACTGATTAAATAACTGGGGCTGACAGAGAGTGATTAGAGAGACCAACCACCTAAAAATCTCACACAGAGACAGTAAAAAAAGCAATGAATTAGGAAACAGCAGACTTAGATTCTGGTCCCAGCTTTGCTATTAACTAGCTGTACGACCTTGGCAAATAGCATTCTCTCTGGGCTTCTGTTTTCTCATCTGTCAAATGAGGGACTGGATGAGATAATCTCTAAGGACACTTCCAGTTCTGAAATGCTATGATTCTATTTCACTCTGACAAATTCTATGCAACAGGGAGCCAATGAATGCTAAAATATTTAGCTCAATGATCTTTTATTTCAACCTGCATCATTACCATCTGTTGTTATATCAATAATGTAAATCAACTGGTACATCATAATCATAACCATGAAGCTCAAATTTTGAGTAATTCAAGTACATAGATATATTAGATATAAATAATGCAGGGACACTTGAGGTGGTTTTTTTGTTTTAATATTACAAAGAAAATTATACTTATTGCATATACATAAATAGAGATATTGACTTCTGAGGCTATAAAACCTCTCTCAGGAAAGAATGTTAGATAAAAGAATTTTCCTTTAATAGTTTCTTCATTATCAAGAGACAAAATAGAGCATATTTAACAGTTTATAAAAATACCAAATTTCTAGCTCAAAGTCTATAAAATTAGGGCCGGCCCGTGGTTCACTCGGGAGAGTGTGGTGCTGATAACACCAAGGCCACGGGTTCGGATCCCATATAGGGATGGCCAGTTAGCGAACTGGGTGAGCATGGTGCTGACAACACCAAGTCAAGGGTTAAGATCCCCTTACTGGCCATCTTTAAAAAAAAAAAAAAAAGTCTATAAAATTAGCTAAAGGGAGAACTGACATCTTAAGTGTCTAGCTGGTAGAAATGTAAATATAAAACTACATGGAAAGATTGTTAGGCAAATTTAAAAGAAGAGCAAGATATTATGAATAAAAAGCAAAGTAACATCCCATAGTATGATCATCTTCCCGGTAATTTGATTCCCTTTAATTTATTTGGCAGCTGGCCAGTACAGGGATTGAACCCTGGACCTGGCTTTTTTCAGCGCCATGCTTTAACCAACTAAGCTTTATAACCAGCCAGCCCTGATTCCCCTTTAAAACCACTGACTCTTTTTTTTTTTTCCTTTTTGTCTTTTTTCGTGACCAGCAACGGGATTGCAACCTTCGGTGTTGCACCCGCACCTCGCTCAGCCAGTGAGCGGCCGGTTTGTATGTGGGATCCGAACCCTCGGCGGGAGCGCCACCCCGCTCCCAAGCGGTGCACTGTAGCAGTGCGCCACCGGGCCGGCCCTAAAACCACGGACTCTTAAAGAAAAATTTCAACTTCTACTTCTATAAAATATGGGATGAAATGCCTAGCTTTATTTCTTGTAAAGGCCCAAGATAATTAGTTTTAGAAATGACACTTACTCTCTTTCATACTTACATGAAGGCTGCTTGATCACAGAACATAAAAAGCAATGGATCATTGTATTTTGCCATTAAACTCCTCAAAGTCTGAATTACTATAAGTTGTAAATGTCATTTAATTTTCATTAGCCCTTGAAAGGATGATTGAATATAATGACAATAAATAATTTTCTAAATCTTTAAAATTTAAGGATTGACTATTTAGAGTAAAACAAAAAATTTCAGACTTTGGCAATACATAATAGATTGAACACATGTTTATTTCCATTTCTTTCTAAAACCCCACTAAAATGACAGTGAAGGAAACAAAAACTTGGGCATTGGAGGGGATTTAACCAAAATCTATTCTAACCAAATCTATTCACAGTGACTTGCTTCGTAAGACTATGCTAGAAGTTAGTAGGAAAACCCAGATTAAAACCTGGTCTCCTTTTTTTTAGGAGGTGGCAATAGTCGAAAACAATGGAAATTATAATGAATGATGGCCATAAGCCAGGAAGTGTGCTTGCGGCTTGACATGCAATCTCCCAAATTCTTTTTCACTACAAGATATACAACAATTGGCAGACATGATTGTCATTAATGGTGATAGGCTATGAATGTGCTGAAAAGTGCTCCAGACTTTCCTCAGACTTTTATAAAGAGCTCCTGTGGCTTCATTCAAGTCAGCATTTTCTAAACTTCACCCACTCCTTCTACTGTCATGATTTGTGTGTGTGTGTGTGTGTGTGTGTGTATATTCAAGTACTAAATTACCATCATTTATACTTTTCCTTTGAATCAACTCATTATTTTATTTTCATTCATTTATTTAAAAAGGAAATCCTATTATCACTTCTGTGGATAAAACTAAATACACACACAAGTACAATGAAAGCAGAGTAGCGTTATTAACTTCCAGAGATACTGCCATCTGCTTAAGGCTATGAGCTGGAGTCTTGCTCTCTTTGTAGGAAAAACAAAAACAAACAACCCCCCCCACTCCAGTTTATTCTAATACCACATCATTTTTTATCCTGCCATCTCCCTCCTCCCCATCCTTTCCTACTACTGAGTTTTAGACTAGAGGTATATATTTTCATCTTTTCAATAGTATCTATTAAGCACCTATGTGCCAACCTACTGTCCTACGGACATCGTCTCTCCTTTCACAGATCTCAATCTGGCAGAGGATATAGACAATAACTAAACATATACAAAATATGTTCAATACCACCCAAGGGAAAATACAGGATGCTACAGGAGGACCCAACATGGGTGGCTATCCTCATCACAGAAAACGTTCTGAGAAAGTAAGGTGTGCAGCAGGACCTGAGGGATAAACAGGAATCAAAAATGGAAGTGCTCCAGGTAGATGGACAGAGGATTGAGAAAAAGCAGAGGGTCACTGGTCGGGAAGTGTTCAGAAAAAAGAGCTACAAGTTGTGGTAATAAGAGGTGGTGACCAGAAAATGTTGGGTTTCACTCTGGATTCTAGAGGGGAAGAGACAGGGCCAATGGCAAAATTGGAGATGGACTTTGGGAACTGCAGTGGCTGAAGTGAGTGAAGGAGACACTTGTCAAGATGAAGAGGTCAAAGAATTGAGAGGCTCTGGAGTTTGGTAGACCACCTATGGGAATGGCCATGTCCTCCCAAGATCAAGGCAGCTAGTGGAGAAGAAACTAGAAATAGTGGTAATGAACCTACTCTCCCTGAGCTGAGATTCAGGAGCTTTGGGAGAATGAACAACCTCCACAAAGGAGGGCTGCAGGGCAAGCAGTGTCCTCATGAACACAAGGCTTCCAGAGTATACCCAGATAAAGGATAGCTTCTCCCTGACCCACCAAAACCTTCACTACCCACACTACTCATCTGGCTCTGGCATATGCTGCTCTGTACTCTAAGCAGTCTACCCCCATCTCACTTATGAGCCCCTTAACCACAGGGACTATATTTTTTATTGCTATACATCATAACTAGCATACGCTCAATAAATACTGATGGAGATTAGTTTAAATTTGATAAAGTATGCAATGGATCTTTATAAATTGAATAATGTTATACAACAATGAACATAATTACTTAAACTGACATACATTTACTAGCACCTATTATATTCTGAGACAAGAACAGCCAATGGTAACAATCTCAAAAGACTTTAAAGGTACCTACCTAAAGGCACTCTTCAAATTGACTCCCAACCCCTAAAGTCTTCATTTATCATCTTGTCCCAGAAGATAATGATGAGAATAAAAGATCACCAAGTCCAGAGTTTCCAAACCAAGTTGAATATCACAATCACCTAGAGCTTGTTAAAAATGTAAATTCCTGGGTCCCACCCCAGATGTAGTAAGAATCTCTGGGTTTGGGCCTTGGAATCTGAGGTTTTTAATTACTTCCCTGGCTGATTCTGAGGCAGTGGGTCCATGGACTGGCATCAAGGGGCCACTAACATAGCTTGTTATTTCCTTTACAACAATCCTGCCTAACGGTGCTACAGACTGAACACTTTCAATATGAGAGAACTAATCATTCACATTCTATTCTGGATTTAGATTACTCTGGAGCCAGATTTCCTTTTTAATCCTGGTTCTGACTCTGACAAGCCTTGGAACTTTTGTAAATTACTTAATTTGTGTGCCTCAATCTCCTCATCTTTAAAATGGGGAAAATAATAGTACCTATTCTCATATGATTATTGAGAAATGTGAATGAGATAGTATATGCAAAACAGAGTCTGGCAATAGTAATCACTAAATAAGCTCAAGTTATTGTTATTGTTGAAGATTCTTCAGATACTTCTTCTAGATAACTGCACTAAAATGTACTACTGACAGTTAAACCATTATAAAACACTTTTATTCAGAATATCATTCAACTATTTAAAAACTTGGGGGAGGGGCATTATGCAATTTTAATCTTTAACTTAAAATTTCACATTTTTCTTTTTCTTACTGCAAATAAATATTTTACAACAATACAGATCAAACAGGCACTGTAAACTGAGCTTGGATCCCAACCATGATATGTTACACTGTTTTTATGTGTCCTGTGTTTGTGGTTGAGAATCTTTGTTGTGATCTACTCAGCCTATGGCTCCCTTTTTTGAGACCTGCGTCTATCTTTTTTGGGCCCAGGGGGAAGTCAATCCATCAGCTAAGCTAATCAGAATCTTTGTTTTAGAATTTGAAATCGAGACACTTGTGGGTTAGCGCCATTTGAGGAAGAGAAAGCATACATGGGGCTAAGGCAGTCAAGTATGGGCCACATACAAAGAGAAGCTGAGAGAAAGGACAACAGGAATGGAGAAGGGAAAGAGCAGTAAGAGGACAGAGACTGCATGAGGCAGGGAGCAGGGGAAAGAAAGAGAGACTGACTCTGCTCTGCTCCTGACAGAATTCTACGTCCTGGCTCTAATACAACTTTTTGTTTGTTTTTTTTAAAAAAGAAATACACATCTTCAATTATATTCAAAATTAAAATCACAAAAAAGAAGACAACGTGAAAACAAGGAAGGGAGTGGGGAAATGGTTAGATAGGGGAAATAAGATTAAGTTTACTAAAAATGCCTGAACTGTGGCTGTGGCTACTGGGCAATCCCCATCTTTGATCTCTATTCTTCTCCTGACACACTGGCATGTGGCAAGCAAACTGTCTATGTGGCCAAGATTTGTAGTTCCTGTTTTGTACAGACACAGCCATTTGCCTCTACTAGAAGTTTAGAGAAACCTACAAGACAGGGTCTGGAAAAACACTATGAACACCCTAAAGTGCTTTTAGGCCCAAGGTGGCAGAAGTAGCCTAATAACACTGATTTCATGCCAGGAGAGAAACAGGTCTCTTAATAGCTTTCTATGTCCAGTCAATACTGGGTACTTCATACTCATACCATGGCATCCTGAACACAAAGGACTTCTGATTAGAGCTACAAAGAGATACAAGCCACTTGTAGATAAAAGGTTGTTGAGCAGTTGTGAGAGAAAACACTGGCAAAGTATTACCTTTCCTCAGCACTAATGAGAATGAAACAGATAAGCATGATATTCAAGTTTAATCCAACTTCTTTTTCTCCTTTTTAGGTAGTATATAGAAAGTAAGCTTTGCTAGGATCATGAATAAGCAGAAAGGTAGATGATTTTACCCTAGAAAATCATTCTGAATATTGACTATATTATTATAAAAAAGAGAGAAAAGAGTCTATAGCTGTCATCCCTAACAGATTGCCTTCTTGCTGTTCCTGCCAACTTCTGAGAGAAAAAGTATTTCTATTCTGCTCCAATTCTCAACATGAGTAAATAAGGAAGTAATGTGACTGATTTCCGTTCTGGTGGCTCAATATTAAGTTGGCTGAGGAAACCGTTGTTTGCAGAAATAGTTCTGGGATAACTCAAAAGGGGAAAAACACTGATGCCCAGATGGTATTTTTTTGTTGTTGCTCCAAATATACTGGGATATTAATGTTTCATTCTCCATAATTAAATGTGTTCTAAGCTGTATTTTCATCTCATCCACTCTTCTCTGCCTGCACTGTCACACTTGGAAAATGGAGGAGTTCCTACATCCGTGGCACGCCCATTGACAAAACAGTACTCTGAAAAAGCAAAGGAAGAGCAGATTTTTAGCAGTACTCTATCCTTTGTAAAGAACAAAGTTGTTCTGCTTACACTCAAGCATTACTATACGGTTCTGTAACGAAAAAAAGTTTAGAAATATTCAATAACCATTCTGAGGGACATTTACTTAAAAGTTTCTAATTAAAATAGCCCTTATGCTCCCAGTTGTATCCTCGGGCCATCACATGTCATAACTGATATTTGGGCAGTTGCAGCTCAAACGTCAACATATTTTTTGGCACACTGAGAAACATCTTTACTTATCTTTATTGGAGCTTTGCTTCAAACCCAGGATTATTTCAGTTATACTTGTAACTTTTATCTTTTCCCATAAACAATTTGCTGAATAGCTACTGGATGCAAATGACAAAAACATTGATGAAACAGGCTTAGATTTATGATCTCCCCACCCCAATTTTTTTCCTCTATATTCTAAAACACCCCCAAATATCTTAAACTCAGCATAACTAAAACAGAACTGCTCAGTCATCCTCAGATCTACTTGTCTAGCATATGCATAGCTTGGAAGATAGCCACACAATTTTTCCAGTTTTGCAATATCAAAATTATAGGATTATCATGGCTTGGTGGTTAGGAGCATGGGCTCTGGAGTTACAGTGCCTGACTATCCCTGGGTGAAGTAATGGGCTAATGAGGTCTTATTTTTCACATCTATTGAATAAGGTTATTAACAGTAACCACCTGATAAGATAGTTGTGAGGATTAGAGGAACTAATGTGGGTAAATTATAAATACATGCTATTGTTACTATTATTCCACCTCTGAGGTGTTTTTCAGTTAAATCCTACTATCCCTTCCCTAGGTAACAGTCCTTTTATCTCACCTGGGAACCACACTATCATTTAAATTTCTAAGTGGGTATCCTTAATGCCAATCATATCCCTTTAATGTATCTAAACACTGCCCTTTTCAGAATTGGTCCTAAACACAAATCCAAGCAAGTTAAGGTGATTTTTAAATCTATTCTTGATTTTCCACTGCCCATGAGAAAAGCTTAAAATTCTAATCTGGCATTCATAATTCTTTAGGAAAAGATTCAGGTGGCAGGACAGATAGCATAAAAAGAAGCCCAGCAGTGCCTGTATGTACAATAATTGCTTGCTGAAGGAATGAATGGATTTAGAAGTTATGTTTGGTATTTAGTTGTATCTATATCACTAATTAGTTACGATGTGCTCTCGTGGTCTCAGTTTTCTCATCCGGAGGCTGATTATTATTATCATCCCTTTTTTTTGCTTAAATCCTGTAGTTTTCCCAGCTTTCCTGTCATGGCTTAAAGTTTCAACCATGCTTGTTTTACTCTCTATTCTTGCCAATTAACTCTTCATCTTAAAGTTCTGGCTCTAGTTGTTCTTCTGCTTAAAACTGTTCCTCCCCATCAAACATTTTCCTGAAGAAATTCTATCCTCCCTATATATCCAACTCTAATTTCACCTTATTTAAGAAGCCTTTCCCCTAAACTCTCACCCCCACCCTCTTAATTTCAGACAAGTTTCTTTTGCTCTGTCAGTTCCCTAGCACACTGAGAGTACTCTACTGTAAGACTTATCAGTTTACCTATTTTACCAGTTATCTATCTGTTCAAAAGACTGTAAGTTTAATAATAAAAGTCTAAAAACTTCAGTCCTTTGCAAATGCTCAACATTTTGAGTTCAGACACTCATCACCTTGGTAGTCAGAAAGGTGTCTGCTACAAACTTCTTACTAACTTTCCAGTCTCAGGTTCTGGAAAATGTTAATGAAGAGATTTGAAGATAAGAAAACACAGCTTTTTTTGATTTTAGAAGGCAGAAATCATCTGTAACTGGTTTTCTCAAACTGCAATTTTTAGATTGCTTACATCGAATTAATTTGTGGTGCTTGTTGAAGATGCAGATTTCTTGGTCCCACTCAGACTTACTGACTGGACATCTCTGGGGAGAGCCTGAGCACCTACATTTTTGATGTGCATACAGTTTCACTGGTTTACAAATCAAGTCCATATTTTTTTGATTATCATGACAATATCCAAATTCACTGATTCTCAAAGAGTGGAGAAGGGACTCCTTCGTGTTCCAGAGACTTTTTCAAAATTATTTTCAAAATACTAAGACATTTGTATTTTGCACTCATTCTCACACAGTACGGTGAGTACATGATAAGATATACAATAAGAGAATGAATGCAGGAGATATGAGAATCTAGCTGTTTTTTATTAAGCCAGACATTAAAGAGATTTTTGAAAATGTCAGACAGTGACATTCCAATAATTTCTATTATTAAACAGAAATGCTATTTATGTTAACATGTAGTAAGTGCATTATTTTAAAATGAATTAATAACTTTCTCGAAACTTCTGTTTTGATTTCTAAAATGGTAAATATCGATAGATATAATCCACATAACAAACATTCTTTGACGTTCTCAGTTGGTTAGAGCATGGTGTTATAACATCAAGGTCAAGGGTTCAAATCCGCTTACCTGCCCCCCCCCAAAAGCATAAAAGAATTCTAAGACCAAAAGGTTTTAGAACTGCTGCTATAATTATTATCAGCAGCATTTCAAAGATAAGAATATAAAGAAACAGTTAAGTGGCTTACCAAGACTCCATACGTAAGCCTCAAATTCTATGTATTTTCCATTACAATGGAAAATCAGGAAATTATCTATTTTATACTTACACAATATTTTTTTTGGAATAGGCATTTTTAACAAGCTCCCAGCTGCTACTGATGCATCTGAGTTTAGAGAACCACCATCAAAAGCAAAGGGAAATTTCTGAATGGTTTTAGGAAGTGACAATTATTACATCTGGACATTATGATAATTCTGAAGGCATTAAATGGAGTTGGAAGACCTGGGTTCTTAGAAGGCCAAGTCCCTTCACCTCTCTGGGATTCAATTTTTCATATCCATACAATAAGGTTGTCTTAATCCCTTTCTGGCTCTGTCAGTCTGGGTTTCACGCACTCCCACTCCCAATGGCAAATGAAGATCAGATGCATCTTTCTGATGAAGGGTCAGGAGTAATCTTAAAGTCATAAATTAGAGCATGTTACTCTTCTGCTTAGAAACCTTCAATCGTTCTTATCCTGGCTCTTATGCCTTACATGATTTGGAGCCTAAGAGCCTGGCCTCATCTCCCTCCATTCTTATTTTGCCCTTTTTGCTCCAGCCACGGTGGCTTTTTTCCCCTTTGACCTTGCTAAGTTTGTTCCCACTGGATGGCCTTGGCACTTGCTATTCCCTTTGCCAGTAATGCTCTACTCCAAATCTTCATAAGGCTTATTACCCCCTCACTCCGTCCCGTCCCACTATCCTGTCTAAATTTCTTTAAAGCACTTAATACTACCTTAGATAATCCGGTTTGCTTACTTGTTTATAGTCTGCTTCGCCCACTAGACTATCAGCTACTTGAGAGCAGGGCCCTTGTCTGCTCGTTTACCGGTGTGTCCACGGCGCCCAGGGTAGTGCCTGGCAGATATTTGTGCTCAGTGAAGGTTCAACGACCGAATTCCTCCACCCAGGGCAGGCTTCATAGGGATGGCGAACAACCTAGCCTCTTTCACGTCCGACCTCGACCCACGCCTGGTTACCCCTCAGTACCTTCCTCGCAGCGACTCCAATACAGCTCTCATCACTGGACCCGTGATGAGCCTTTTCCGGCTCGAGGAGGGCTGTTTGACCCGGAAGTGTTCTCGGACAGACGAGCCCGCCTCCGCGCTGATGTAGCACTTCCGGGGCAGTAGGAGCAGCGAGTTGGCGGCGGAGGCTGTGGTGAGGAGAGTGGTCGGTTAGGTGCGGGGCTTCTTGGGACAAAGCAGGCGAGCTGTGAGGTCTCAGGGCCGGACCCGGCGGCCGAGGCCTCTGGGGAGGGGTAGGCGGCGGCCTGAGGGGGGACGGACGACACCCAACGGCAAGGTGCGAGGACTGTGAAAGCGCTTTGGTTGTTGAAGCGCTCCGTTTGTGTAAGGAATACTCGTCGTTGTCAGCGTCAGTGGAACTTAGGAGTGCATGTTTACAACAGACCTCCCATTCGGGAACTGTTCTTGGATGTGGGAGGAAGTGGGAGCGGTCGTTTGCCCATCTAGAGACAGCTGTTTTAATACCGATAGTCAGGATATAAACAACCACCATCAGCACGAATACTAATAGCAGCTGTTGATCTGTGAGCGGCTATGTGCTAGTCACTGTTCCGAGCCCCTCGCACACATCGCGTCATTTAATCTTTTTAGGAACCCGTGGCCCCTTTGGACAGATGAGGAAACAGAGACGCAGGTAGGTGGACTAGCTTCCCCACAATCGCTGCAGTACAGGGGTGGAAGAAAGTGTAACTCCAGAGCCCGTGCTCTTAGCTACTGAACTATACCGCTCTCCATTCTGGTAAGTGGGAGGAAGGGTATACTCGTTTATGTGTGTGCGTTTTTATTCCTTAAAAATTTGGCTCAGCCATTTGGTTTTACTTTTAATGTTTCAGATATTGGAATCTTGCTTTTCCAATTATGAAAAATAACACAATTGCTACAGAATACCTGGAAAACTTACAAAAATGTTAAATAGTACAATTCCATGTACTTGATATTTATTACATTTTTCTTTTTCTTTTCTTTCTTCTTCTTCTTCTTTTTTTTTTTTTTGCCTTTATTGCTAGATTCTGAATCTGTTGAGAACAGGGATGGTACTGCCATTCTAATAATGTTAATATGGTAATGATGGTATAAACTATCAACCCTCCAAAACTCTCTTCTGCCCTAACTCAATTGTCTGACACATTTTAGATGCTCATTAAACCTGTATTGCACAAATCAAAGACTAGAGATTACCACTGTTTAGTATTTTGAAATATGTCCTTCCAGTCTTTTATAAAATTATGTGAGTTTATATAATATATATATATATACACACACTTGTTATATATGCACACACACTACATGTAGTATACTATATATGTTACTGAACCCAAGTCCAGCTGCCTCCACCAAACAGAAACAAACGACTCAAAAGTCCAGTGTTGGTGAAAAGGGAAGGCAGCTTTATTCAAGCCTGAGGAGATGGTAGGCTAAACCATCCAATATTCTCAAGCTAACTGAGGGTTTTTTTTCTGTCCTCTTTTGTTTTATTTTAACTTCTCAGAATACATTGTAGTCGATTTTTGTGACCCTTTACCCGTTCCTAACTGATGATTTTTTTAAGGAGGATGTTGAGGGAGTGAAAAACAAGCTGGAGGGGGACTTGTAAGGTACCAGGTACATCCTTGTCATTATCTTAGGGTCCTGTAGGATTTTGATTGCTTTGGGGTGGAATCAGCATAACTTTATTGATGTCTTCCTCGGTTTCTCAGGGTCTGGATAGTATGTGCCTCATAGCAAGTTTGCATCTCCAGGTTGTCTGGAAAACAGCTCTATACTTAATGTAAATGATATCATCCTGCCCAATAACCAATGTTCCAGATATCAAATAACCATGGGAAAAGAGGGAACTCAGAGGAATGCATGCTAAACTAGATTTTATGTTTATCTTATATTCTGTTAGACAAGTGTGTTTCTACTTCTGGAGATTCAGCCGTCAAGTTTGCCTTGCAGACTTCCTCCAAGGCTGAGGCCTGCTCTAGCCCTAGGAAAAAGGATCAAATATGATCAAATATGGGAGTTCTTCCTGTTACATATGTAATATTTATGATGATGATGATATGTTGTAACCTGGAGAGAGAGTAAGGAAAGGAAATACATGTTTATTCATCTACATGAAACATTGAACTTTGTGCAAGAACTGTTTAGTCTTTTCCATTGGATAGGATCTTGACATTAGTGAGGCAGAAATGTGTCTTATGTTAGTTCTTTATCTCTACAGCTTGATACATAGTAGGTAGTACTCAAAAAAATGTTTGCAAGTGAGTGAATGAATACCTCTAACAAAGTTGGTTTGTATGTCAGTGGGTAGTTATATCTGCATTTTTTCTCTGTGTTTTTGGGAATGTATAATGTATGTACACCATATACCCATATAATCTAGGCTCCATGATGTTGTCTTAATCTACCTTTCTAGCCTTATGCCTCCTAATTGTTCTTCTCTCTTCCATATTTACTGCTTCTAGCAACTGTCTACATCCCATACTGTCATAGCTCAGGCCTTTGAGCACTCCCATGTGTTGTTTCCATAGCCTTTAATTCTCTTTTTGGAATTTTCATCTGTCAAAATCCTAACCATCTTTTAAGGCAAGTGTTGCAAACTCAGATGCCTACAGGGGCTAATCAGGCAACATAAATAAGTGAAGTGGATTTGGGTGGGCATTGTGGGGAACTGGAGAGCACTGCCCAGCAGCTATTTGGCATGAACTGGTTATTACCAAGTCGAATGTGGTCCCAGTGTTGCAAGATCTTTCTTTCAATTTTACAAGGTAAGTTGGAACTTTTATATGTATGATTTCATACTTTTATATGAAGTATGATTTTTAAATGTTAGCAACTAATTAAAAAGAAGTTTAAACACTCTGCAGGCCAAATAAAAACATCTGTTGGCTGTATTTGGCACTCAGATTCCCAGTTTGCGATCACTGCTCTAGGCTTATTTTAGGTATTTTGTTCATGAATCATATTCCCTGATTCTAATGGATGACTTCTTTTCTGTTCTTTTGACATTTTGTGTGTTCCTCAATTATACTGCTGTGTTCAGTCTGCCTTAGTTGTTAATGTCTCTCTTTTCTAGTCTCTCATTTCATGTAGAAATGTTTTAATGGCATGGATTGGGTCTCATTTTGCACTTAGTATATATCAGTATAATGTATGTATTTATACATACCTAAGACGTGTGTGTGTCTTTGTATGTATAAATGTTTGTATGTGTAAGATACATTTCTCCCCAGGTGATATCCTGGTAACTAGTATCTGTTCTTTGTAGCAACTCCAATATATCTTGGCTTTAATTGCCAAAGAGCTCTACTTCTGGAAGGAATTGCATTGGGTAGCATTGCTATTCGAAAAGCTGATTTGACATAAATCCTGTTTAATGGCTTAAATTTCATAATCTCCCTGGTAAAATTGAGGTAGGAGTGGTTAATAATTAAGATTTTTAAAGGACAATCAATAAAAGGAAAAATTGATAAGTTAGACCTCATCAAAATTAAAATCTTTTGCTCTGTGAAAGACTTTATGAAGATAATGAAAAAATAAGCTACATACTGGGATAAAATATTTGCAAACCACATATCCGACAGAGGACCTGAATCTAAAATGTATAAAGAGTTCTCAAAACTTAACAGTTAAAAAAATATAATTAGAAAATGAGCAAAAGATACAAATAGATATTTCGCTGAAGAAGGTATACAGATGGCAAATAAGCATATGAAAAGATGTTCAACATCATTAGCTATTAGAGAAATACAACTTAAAGCCATAATGAGATGCTACCACACACCTGTAGGAATGGCTCAAATAAAAAATAGTGACAACACCAAATGCTGGCAAGAATGCAAAGAAACTTGGCCGCTCATGCATTGCTGGTGGGAATTTAAAGTGGTATAGCTACTCTGGACAAAGAGTATGGCAATATGTTATATGTTATAAAACTAAAGATGCACTTATATGACCCAGCAATTGCACTCTTTGTCACTTATCACAGAGAAATGAAATCTTACATTCCTGAAAAAGCTTGTATGTGAACTTTCTTGGCTGTTTTATTCATAATAGTCCCAAACTGGAAACAACCCAGATATCCTTCAGTGGGTATGTAGTAAAATTGTATTACATTCATACCTTGGAATACTACTCAGAAGTAAAAAAGGAAGGAACTATGGATACACAAATGTAAATGAATCTTGAGCGACTTACACTGAGTGAAAAAAGTCAATCTCAAAAGCTAACACATTGTATGATTCCATTTATGTAACATCTTGAAATAACAAAATTATGGAGATGGAGAACATATCTCCATCGGAGAGATCAGTAGTTGCTGTGGGTTGGAAGGAGTGTGGGAAGTGGCTGTTACTAAAAAGGATAGCACAAAGGATCCTTGTGATTGAATCTGTTTTGTATCTTGACTGTGGTGATGGTCACATAAAATAAAATTTTATAGAACTAAATACACATAAATGAGTACATGTAAAACTGGTGAAATCTGAATAAAATCAATGGATTGTGTCAATGTCAGTTTCCTGGTTATGCTGTTGTACTATTGTTATGCAAGTTGTTACCATTGAAGGAAAACTGGGTGAAGGTGTATGGGGATCTCTCTAGTATTTCTTATACCTGTATGTGAATTTACGATAATCTCAGAATAAAAAGTTATAACAAATAATTTATACAAAAAAAGGATATATAAATAAATTTTTTCTTGGGTGTTTATTTTACCAGGCCATGTTCTAATCATGTCATATAAAGATGGTATTGAGACTCCAGTGATAACTGAAGCAGCCCCTATCCTTGAAGATGGAAACTGTGAGCCAGCCAAGAATTCTGATTCTGTTGACCAAAGTGCCAAACCAGAGAGTAAATCAGAACCTATACCTTCCACTAGGAAAAGACCAGAGGCCAAACCTTCCAGTGAC